GCCTATAAAACAATTGTCCGTGACAGATTCCTGTGTCTCCCACATGAGGCCGGTAGTTTGAAATAGCACGTGCAACCGCATTGGCCCACCCTGCACTGTCCGGCCCACGGTTGAAGGAACACCCTTTCGGCCAAACACACCATAGTTCAGGCCCATGCAATTTTCAAAATGGATTATATTCTGCATGTTATAAGTTGTATCTGGGGCTTGCCCGCATAAGGGTGCTTTTACAATTATTCACTGCGCTAGAAATACACTCAGAATGTTGTCTGGTAGAGTAGAATAGCAACGATGCATCTCTGGATCCTCAGGCTGTCTTTCCTCCCCGTGCTTTCTCTCTGGTGGACAGGCTGGGGAGGGGGGGTGAAAGGTCACACGGCTCACAGCCCAGAGCGACCTCCCTGCATCCTAAAGACAGAAAGAGTGGGACTGGTCTCATTAGGCCAGAAGTGCATGGCATTGTGTAGTGTTTAGGTGCTGGGAGCTTCCAGTGAGTTCCTTGGGAGGGGAGGGCGCACAGGACGCCTGGCCCCCCTGCTCCCCTGCAGCCCAGGGTGGCATGGGTGGTAGGCATGCCACGGTCTTCCTCCCTGACCTGACAATGGGGATGAGGTATGCCGTGTGCCTAGACATCGCTTGGCAAAGGCGGAGAGAGCGCTTGCCATTTTCTCCTTCCAGTGTCTGAGCTAGTTGCCAGGCACCTCTGCAACATTTCTAACATGTGAAGAAACTTGGAACCGCTGGCTGCTATCAGCTTTAAACAAATGAAAGGATTGTGAATATGCTTTCCTTTGGTTGAGCCCAAAGGACAATCCGGTCACGGGCAGGTGCTGAGTTGCAGTCTCCGGGAGCCTTCCCGGCTCAGAGGCCTGGCCTCAGGCACGCGCGCCACCCGCGCAGCTTTTGTCCACGCACCTGGTCTCAGCATCCTGTCCAGCTCACAGGGCTGTTCTTGGGATGACATAAGCTTAAAAAAAACAACTTGCTGGACACTGGTAGCTCTGTCATCCTAGCTACTCAGGAGGCTGAGATTTGAGGACTGTGGTTCAAAGCCAGCCTGGGCAAGAATTCCGCGAGACACTTATCTCCAATAAACCACCAGAAAACTGAAAAAGTGGTGCTGTGGCTCAAGTGGTAGAGGGCTAGCTTGAGCTGAAGAGCGGAGGGACAGTGCCCAGGTCCAGAGGTCAAGCCCCACAACCGACAAAAAAAAAAAACAACAACTTTGTTACAATGTATTACTGTAATTGTTTTGTTGTATTAGTTGTTGTCTCTTACCATGTTTGATTTATGAGTCAAACTTTTTGTGGATGTGCGTCTATAGGAAAAACATAGGGTTTTGGAGTATCTGGTGTTTCAGGCATCCCCCAGGGGTCTCGGAATGTATTGCTGTGGATAAAGATGGGGGAGGGGCCCCCACAGTATAACCCCTGCTTTCATTGCCTTTGATGTCGGTATAGTTTGTGGAGGGGAAGGGGAAAACAAATTGTTTAAATAGGGATACAGGTGGACCCATTGCAACAATGAGATGTACAAGACCTCATGTCGAAAAACGAACTTTACAACTTTGGCTGGGGAGATGGGAAGTGATAGGAAGGGGAAACAAAGGAGGAGGCAGCAATGCTTGATAAGAAATGTCCTCATTACCTTGCCCATGTAACTGTAACCCCTCTGTACGGTATTTCCACAATTAAAAAAAAAAGATGGGGGAGGGGTGGCTGTGTTTGGTAATTACTCTGAGCCCCTGATTGGCGGGGATTGCTCGTCTAGGCTCTGACAGCCCCTATCATGTAGCCAGCTGCTTACCAACTTGTGTTTTCTTGCCTTCTCTTTCTTCTCTGGGTCAGCCCTGAGCAGCTGCCCTGGTTGGGTTTCATGCTGCCTATAAATAGAGTCCAGCCTCATTTCTGGACGTTCGTCAGGTTTGCAGGGTGTGTGTGTGCCTTAGGACTGCAGTTGAGAAATCAGCCTTGAGCCTATTCCAGCCGTAGTCTCCTGACAGCTCAACATCTCTGAAAGGACAGTGTCGAAGACAGGGAGTGCATTGCTCCCTGCAAGGGTAAACTGAGGCAGTGATCGAAGGGTTCACAGACCCGGAAGTCATGGAGCTTCCTGTTGGTATCTAAGAGGCTGACCTGACTTTGGCTCAGTGTATAATTGAATGCCTTGGAAAAATCCAATTAACACATGGAAAAGATGCTTTTGAGAAATTGTGCTTAAGACAGGACCCGTTGTCCCTGCTGCTCTAGAGAAGGGTGGGGAGGGGCAGGTAATAAAGGCCCCCCTAATGAAGTCCCCCTTCTACATTACTCTTCGGGTGATTTTTATGTAAGGAATTACCGGTCCACTGTTTTTCTGAGAAAACCAGATGGCAGCACTGTCGTGCTCACTAGAGACTTGTGGAATTTGTGCCAGGTTTATTAGCATTTGCCAGTCTTAGGAAGAACTAAGAACACTAGAAAGGCAGAGCGTGTGTGTAGTTTTCTCCTGGAAAGCAGGCTTGCGTTGTGAAGCGCAGATCCGACGCCCCTGAGAAGCTCTTATTGATCCGTCATTCTTTGGACAGCCGCAGAGGCAGCGGCTGTACCAGAGCAGCCTCCTGCAGCCGCACTCCCTGGCGCCCGCCCCGTCACCAGCCCAGATTTTCATGTCCGCTTTCAGTTGTGCACTGAAACCATGTATCCCCCAGCGAAGTGCAGTTCCAGCTCGGAGAAACTTCATCACAGCCCTGACATGAAAAGACAAACAGAAATCTGCCTGTCCCTGTTATCCATCCAATAACGAAAGCACCCAAGGGTAGAGGAATAGACATCCATCACGTCCCGGCCACGCAGCCAAGCCTGAGCCCAAGTGCAGTATTTCGATGTGGAGCTCAGAAACCTTTCTTTGGCAAGGCAGAGTTCTCCTGACGGCTCATTTCACCGGCAGACCGGCTTGTCTGCGTGAGAACAAAGGGAGTTCTGTCTGGCTGATGTGAGCCCGATCGCGCTTTTTCCTTCCCCAGTGATTCGAGCACCGATTCTAGAAGTTTTGAGTACTTTCCTCAAGTTAAACAACGCTGCCTCTTCACGTGGCCTGGGATTTGCCTTTATCTGTCGGGAAGCGTGGGCTGCTGCAGTGGCCTTTGCCCTGGTTTAGCATGAGCAAGAATAATAGCATTGGCTCCGAAGGAGATTCAAGAGATGATTATGGGATTATTCGGGAGGCTTGTCACCAGAGAATTTATCTGTTATAAAGAGCATGTAGATTTTTTTTGATTATGGCGTTTCTGCTTTAACAACTGCATGCCTGTGTGTATATTATAACTCATACCCTAGCTCAACTTTGAGAGCACTTTTGTTAGTATGTCTTGCTTCTTCCGGTTTCTTCTGGTTCATGTAGGATTCTCTGGAAAGGGCCGGGGTGGGAGCATTAGTATGAAGGCAAGAAGATTGAAAGTGAGGTTTGATTTGCTACATCAGGAAGGAGAAATCTGCTGTTTACAATGCATCGCCTCCACATTGGGAAATTCCAGCCTCTTTTCCATCAGCAGAACATATTTTTGTTCCTGATATACTAGGGTGAACTTAGTTAAATTTCCAGGTTCTGCCCAATTGCTTTGAGCTAGCAATTAGCCATAGTAACTAAGCCAAGAAGGGCCCCCCTCCCATTATTCTCACGTATGTGGCAAACCCAGCATTTAAAGGTGAACACGATATGACAAAGGGTGAATATTCACACTTGATTTACCGTATTGCGTGTTGCGGGGTCCCTCACGCCACCCACTGGCCTTACCCACCACTTGTGGCCCAGCGTTGATGCGGCTGTTGGCTCTATTTATAGAGTGAACAGGAATGCATGATCCTAACTTACACAGCCGAGAGTCCAGAGAGGCTGAAACAACCCAGAGCCAGCCGTTAGGCAGGCTGGCTGTACCAAACTGACTCAGAAGGCCTGGAAGCCAGCGGTTCCCGCATTGGTTATGCATCTGGTCTAACTGGGTCGTCTGTGCCCTTGTTCTTCCTCATTTGAAAATATTCCAGAACCATCCCTATGTCTCTACGTAGCTCTGCAGATGATGTGAAGATGGATACAGGCAGTCAGGATCCACTTTTAATTTTTCAGAGCTAGGATGATCTGCTTCTTCCTTCTTAATTGGCTTGAGTTGCTACATCTTTTCTAGCAGTCACTAGGACTTCAAACAGGGAATAGGTCAGGGACTAGAAGTGACATTAAACCCCAGCGTCTGGTCCACTGGGTGCCTGAGTGACACAGAAAGGCAGGTGAGCTTCAGGGCTGGTACATTTACTGCCCTCAGTTCCAATAGGACATAGTCTAAAAATACTTACCGCTGAAACAATGCTACGTGAAAGCAGAGTAGCAGACGTAGAATTCTTACTGTTTCGTGAAAAGGATTGAAAATTTACTGTTATCATCTCTGTTTTACTGAGAAAGAATGGATGTTTACTCAGGTAATCCTAGCTACTCAAGAGGCTGAGAGCCAGGCGCCAGTGGCTCACGCCTGTAATCCTAGCTACTCAGGAGGCTGAGATCTGAGGATCACGGCTCAAAGCCAGCCTGGGCAGGAAAGTCCGTGAGACTCTTATCTTCAATTAACCACCAGAAAACTGGAAGTGGCGCTGTGGCTCAAGCGGTAGAGCGCTCGCCTTGAGCTGATGAGCGCAGGAACAGTGCCCAAGCCCAGAGTTCAAGCCCCACAACCAACAACAACAAAAAAAAAAGAGGCTGAGATGTAGAAGACTGCCATTCAAGGCCATGAATTTTTATGCCTATAATAACCAACAAAAAGCAGTGCTGGAGACATGGCTCAAATGATAGAGCACCACCCAGCAAGAAAGACAAGCCAAAGGTCCTTGATTCAAACCTCCCAGTAATGGCCAAAATTATGAAGGAAAAAAAAGGATCTGTGAAGAGGCTAAGGGTAGACGTTTCTAATTTGCCTTCGAAATGCTGATCTTTCACTTTGAGGATGCTTTATATAATTTTTTTTTCTTTAACAGAATGAAGTTGGCCTACTGGAGTTCTTCCAGAATGTGATGAAAGAAACTAGGGCAGAGCCAAAAATGGTGACTGGCTGGATCCTCAACACCCTACTGGGCTATTTAAAGCGCCAGAACCTCGCTGTCTGGGAGAGGTGAGTGCGCGGGGGGTTCTTCCCCCATCGTGAACTCTGGGTCCAGAAGCAGTGGAAATGGGGCAGCACGAGCTTCTGCTCTTCCTATTCTCACACGGGGTCTCCTAGCACGATAACAAACATCCCCTGTGAGTTCCACGTTGTAAAAGTATTTTCACTCCCATCTGCAAACCCACTTCATTTGTTCAGACTGGTGCGGCTTTGTGTGCTGTGCGAGGGGCTGGCAGCTTGAAGAGGGAGAAGACAAGAAGTTTAGACACCGGACTTGTTATAGGCCCATAAGAAAGCAGTCGCCTCAGTGTGCTCTCGTACACTGGAGACATGCGCACACACGGGGTCCTGGGAAAGAGGGGACCTTTCCCACCCAGGGACCAGCACTCAAGCGTGGGGTGAGTCTGGGTCTGACATCCTGGATTGTTTGGGGTTTTTTTTGAAGTAGAGTAGCCCAAACTCACTATTCTCCTTGCCTTAGCTTCCCAGGTGCTGGTATTATAGGCATTTCCTACCACAGCTGGCATTTCTGATTATTTTGAGTATATTGTGAAATGCGTTTGAATTAATAGGACATTCTAAATTGTTTTAAGTGTGATTTAGTTAAGAAAGAAGACATTTCTGATCATTTTGAGAATATTGTTGTGAAACGTGTTTTAATTAATAGGACATTCTAAATTGTTTTGTTTGATGTAGTTAAGAAAGAAGACATTACATATACCCCAAGTGAGTCCGTTGTAAAATCAGATGATTGTCATCCGCATGACCGACTCCAGTCATTCGCATGAATCGAGTGCCTAAACTTCAGGACAGCTATGGGCCTCAGTCCCTGAGCACCAAGGAAGCTGCGAGGCCTTTGAGCCCGGGAGCGGTGTTGACAGGGAATCGAGCAGGGAGATGCGTGGACAGCACTGGAGAACTGGCCCGGGCTCGGGGGCTGAGCTGTGGCAGTGGGCAGGCAGAGGAAGAGTTGGCTGCAGTTAGTGTTTTGAAGGCGCCCTGGTTTGGCACCCAGGTAGTTGGAAGCGGCTCCCCAGAAAACATGGTGGGGGTTGAAGTGGCAGAGTTGCTGGTCAGAGGGGACGCTTATAGCAAGGCTTGGCAGACTTGGGCGTTGTGGGTCCACGGCCTGGTTTTGCAACAGCTTGTGAATATGAATGGTTTTTACCTTTGTGAAGAAGAAAAACTTGGGAGTTGTAGCTCGGTGGGCGTCTTTTTAGCTAGCATGCGTGAGGCCCTGGGTCACCCACATAGAATGTGCAGTGTGAGCGAGTGTGGGACTCCTCCTGGGGGGGCAGGTGAGTGGAGGGGTGCAAAGAAGGGGACCCGAAGTCTTGGGAAGTGGTGAGGACGTAGAGCCCCCCTGCTGGTGTTGGGCAGAATGGAGGCAGCCGGCAAGGAGCAGACTATGAGGGAAGCGGAGGAGGGGCAGAGGCCGGGGAGGAGAGGCAGGTCTCCATAGTCGGAGGCCACAGGAGGGAGTGTGTGCTTGGCAGGAAACTGGAGGTGGTTTGCAGGAGGAGAGCTGCTGTAGGGGCTGGGGAGACTCCCAATGACACATGCGTACAAAAGGCGGACGATGGCAACCGCAGAAGCTGCTAGATCGTTATTGAACAAAATCAGAGCCAGACAGATGGAGCAGCGGCCGGATGGACTGGAGGCATCTCCAGTTTTGGGGGAGTGTGCACAGGAGTAAAGGGAGAAAGGGGGGCACAGGCCAGGGCGTGGGTGCTGGGGAACCGCAGGGGCGGCACGGAGTGGGCTGCAGAGGAGAGGGAGGGTGGCTGGATGGGGGAGGGGAGGAGGATGCCCTCGAAAGAGCTGGACCTTGATCAAGTCATGTTTTCCAGAGGTGGGAGGTGAGGGTGACTGCTGAGGAGTGAGTGTGACGGGAACGAGGTGACAGGTGGGACACCAGGAGGCCAGAAGGACAGAGGAAGGGTCACCAGCGAGTGAGCACCGCCACAGGGCCAGGTCCCTGTGTCTTTCTCTAGGACCTTCCTGGGTCCCATTTTACAGACGCAGCGAAGGGGGATAGGAGAAGCGGGGGGGGGGGATAGGGGAGTGGAATGGCTGGTGGAGTCGGGGGTCCTGGAGACTGGAAAGGTCCTGCTCCCCTCTCAGGCCGCTCGGGCCTCGGAGCCTGGGGACGAGAGATGTGCACCTGAAGCGCTTTCCATGTCAGGTTCTTCCTAAGTGGAGACGTGTGAGCTGTTAAGAGTCCAGGGCGCTGTGGCCGCAGCAGATGAGCTGCTTGTCCTTCTGTGCTGCTGGGTTTGAATGGATGGTTTATTTAACTGATTGGGGAGGGGGTGTGGTCTGTCAAGGTCTTCGTGACAGGCACTGACCTTTACTCATCATCTTATTCAAGTTCAGCCCTGGCATGTCTGGAACTCATATAGCCAGCCTTCCATCCCTGCAGATCAAAAGTATTTGGGGGGAAAAATTGCACCTGTGCCAGCACTGGTGCTTCGTGCTTATAATCCTAGCTACTCAGGAGGCTGAGATCTGAGGATCACTGGTCAAAGCCAGCCTGGGCAGGAAAGTCTGTGAGACTCTTACTTCCAATGAACTACCAGAAAACCAGTAGTAGAGCTGTGGCTTAAAGTGATAAGAGGACTGGCTTTAAGCAAAAGAACTCAGAGACAGTACCCAGCCCCACGACTGAAACAAAAATTGCACCTGTTTTGAACTTGTACAGATTGTTTTTTCTTGTCATTAGTCCCTAAACTCTCTGTTTAGGGACTTGAACATGCCCAGGGCCAGGGGTCCTACAAAGAATCTCTTGTGTTACTGAGGGCCAACTATCTGTACCGTGTACTGTACCCATATCTAGTATTGGTAGAAGGAATCCATTACTGGCCTACTATATGCTGTGCATTGTGGGAAGAAAAGTGACATCCCAAGCACTTTTAGGTCAGTGAAGAAATTTTAAGATAGGATTCTTAGATGAATTTCTCTAAAGTACATTCATTTTTTTGCGTTCTTTCTCTGTTTGCCTGAAATTAAGATGCTAAAACTCTGCTCCCCCTTCCCCTCAAGATGGCAGGATTAGAAAGTGGAGCCTGTGGAGGTGGCCGGGTCACGAGGTGGAGCCTCAGATGGGCTCAGTACCGCTGGCCATTAGAAGTCCTAGAGATGTAGCTCACCCTCGCTCCCTGTGAGGACGAGGTGGGAAGGTGCATTCAGTGGCACAGAATCTGCATCGGGGACTCCCCAGCTTCATAGCTTACAAGGCCCTCGGTCTTCCCAGCAGATCAAGGCAGGTACTGGCTCACCGGAGGCAGATGTGCGCTTTTTGCGTCCTCTAGGAATCTAGCTCGACCTCTGTGCTTGTTACTGGTTCTACAGTCTTCACTGGAAGATAATTAGCTGTCATATTTTCCAGGATTGCAGATCATCCAAACAACCCACTTTTAGAAAAACCTGATTCCTTAGTACCTGTCAGTAAAGATGAGAGGCTGGGAAAGAAGAGGGCTCATTTTTCAGCCCTTTGCCCTTCTTCCTTTTGAGATTTAATCAGGATGATTTACAGGCCTTCCAAACAACAATTTAGCAACACCAGATACTCTCCAGACATTCCCCTGATTCTCCTTGCAACTACTTTTTTCCTTACTTTGGGATAAACAAATAACTTTAAAGGAAGATGGGTTCTCCCAGCCCGTTTTTGTTCATTCAGAACAGCTAACAAGGTTCTCTGTGCCTAAACAAGAGAAACGAGGCCACACTTGCTTACCTTGTCCACCATTCGTTTGGAATTCATGGAAATTGGTACCGAGCTATTTATCTAGGAGCTTCCAAAGAAATAGTGAGTGGAGGGACCCCAGACTTACACAAAAGGTGTTTTCAAATGGCATGGAACATTTCACAAAGCCTTTTTTTTTTAACACAGACACACTCATGTGCTATTTATAAGCTGTTCCTATTTTTAACTAGTCCCCTAATGACCTCAGAAAGACAGCATTTCGTTAGCCTAGTTACTGGATAGATACAGAAGTTATTAAACCATTTATTTGTAAAGAACTAGGCCATAATGCAGTCTTATCTTTTCGGGTCTAGGTGTACACTCCAGTCCCCAGCTTATCCCAGAAATGTGAATTCCTGACACTTTACAGTGTTAGTTCCCTCCTGACCTTTTGTACTATGGTATCTTGGAACATAAATCATGGATATAGATAAAATGGATTCTGGGTCCTTCTGCATCTAGAAAGCCAATACGAATGTACAAGTGTGGACATTTAGAGGGTGCAGAGGAGCGTGGTTAGGTGGGTGACATCGAGTTCCCTTATGGAAAATCTTGTATAATTAAAGGAATTTATATTTGCCCAGTAACACTTGCAAAAGGGGCTTTGTTAGCTGTTTTGTTTGAAGTCACTTTGAGGCTGATCTTCCTGTGGAAAACACTTAATTACTAGATTTATTTTTTCCCCTCTGTTCGTGGTTCATGAATTTTACAGTTCCTCCCTTGCTGACTAATTGCAATGAGCAGGAGTCTTTGATGCAACCTTTGCCAAACAGCTATTATTATTGGGTGGTAAAATAAAGAGGAAAACGCAGTCACAGAAATTTGTTAGATCCTAAAGCTCAAAATAAATAAGCAAAATAAAACAGGAGCCCAATTGGTGTGTTAGTTTCATCCCTGGTAGGTTTATTTAAACCTAAGAGTTCAGATTCTAATAACCATCAGTAGATTTTCTGACAGTGTGAAATGCTGACCTATTCTCTCTCTCTCTCTCTCTCTGGTGGCTGCTAGTCCTGTCACACCCTCAGCGCTGGCTGAGCTCCTCAACCTACTAGACAGTAAAGCAATTTCTTCATCAGCAGCTAAACAGGTATGTCCACACTTCCAGAAGCTTCTCCCCTGCTCCACCGTCCCAGCAAATGTTTTCTGTGAAACCCAAAAGCCATTACTAAATGAATTTCATAACTGAGGCATTGAGTGCGTGTTGTGATGGACGATTTCATTAGCAAAGCTCGAAAGCCCTGCGCCACGGCAGGAGAAGCAGGCAGGTCGCTCCTCGGCTCTGCTTTCCGAGGAAATCATTATTATCTGCCTTCTCCCTTCCGCGTCCCCTCAGTGTTTGCTGGGGACCCCCAGCAGCTCTTGGGGGCCGCAAGCCTGTGCTGGTTTTACCAGCACGGGGAATCGGGGCTTAGCTCCCAGCCGGCCAGCCCCACAGCTGCCTCAGCACACGCTGTAGATGAAATGGTACACGTGAAAACTCAGGCCAGCATCCTGAAAGGTAGCCTCGTCTCGTCTCTACCGCCAGCTCTCCATGCCAGGTGGGTGAGATTCCTGAACTGGGAAAACTCCTACAAATCAGAACCCACAAGATAGAGAACACCTGGGAGCTGCCGCCTCTCAGCTTCAGAGCGCACAGCTGTCAGTGCTGCAGCCCACAGCCTAATGTTATTTTAATAGCGCCTCTTGCATTTAATATTTATACACACCGACAGCAGTGGCAGGTTACAAAGTGAGGCTTTGAGTAGCGGCTGTTTTTGGCTAATTATGGGTACCACGGAGCATGCACTGGTTCTCTGCGGCTAACTAGAGACAGGGCTGACAGAGGCTCTGCGAACCCCCGCCGGTGGAGCTGTCGACCGTCGGGCCCCACCGCTTGCAAAAGGCTCCACCGCTTGCAAAAGGCTTTGGCTGCGTGTGTGCATGCGTGTGTGTGTGTGTGCGCGTGTGCCAGAGGAATACAAATGTTTATGACAATGTTCAGCACTTGTGGGAAAATTAGATGGCCCCGGGGCAGGAAGGAACTACATACACGTCTAAGAGCAGATGAATTGTAGCATTTGAAATGAAACAGAATCTTCCTCATCTCCTTCCCATCCACGCGGCCCCACAAAGAAAGAAACAAAGAAAAAAAGACAAACACCTAGTACAGTAAGATAATTCTAGTGGGAAGACAAAGTACTAGAAGATGCTGACAGCTGGGACCAGAAATAAACATGTTTGCACTTCATCCACTCGCAGTATGCTACAGGAGGCGGCAAATCCAAGCTCCTGTGAGGCCATCGAAGGGCAGTGAAGGCCTGATTTGAGCGAACAGTGTTTAATGTCTGCTGCAAGCTGGAGCCTCTCTGATAGGTCACAGCTGGGGCTGGGTGGAGGGGTTGGGGGGAGGCTGTCTTTCCTACTTTTTGGTTACTGATGAGGGAAACACTGCTATTGCTGAGCAAGAGGGGGAGGATAATGTATGTTGCTTATTAAGAATTTAATACAGGGGCTGGGAATGTGGCTTAGTGGTAGAGTGCTAGCCTAGCATGCATGAAGCCCTGGGTTCAATTCCTCAGTACCACCTAAACAGAAAAGGCCAGAAATGGCACTGTGACTCATGGTAGAGTATTAGCCTTGAGCACAGAGAGGCTCACGGACAGTGCCCAGGCCTGAGTTTCAAGCTCCAGGACTGGCAATACAGGAAAAAATAGATTCCCAGATTTTACTTGTTGTTAATCTAACTCCAGTGACTAATTACATTGAGCATTCCTCCCTTTTCTTGAGGGGAGGGGAGTGGGTTTAAACTGGGCTTAAACTAAGCTTGGACACTGCCCCTGAGCTTTTTTTGGGGGGGTCTGGTCGTGGGGCCTGAACTCTGGGCCTGGGCGCTGTCCCTCAGCTCTTCAGCTCAAGCTGAAATGGTAGTGCTCTACCACTTGAGCCACAGCACCACTTCCGGCTTTTTTTTTCTGCTTATGTGGTGCTGAGGAATCGAACCCAGGGCCTCATGCATGCAAGGCAACCTTCCCAGCCCCACTCCCTCAGCTTTTTTTGCTCAAGGCTAATGTTCTACCACGTGAGCCATGGCTCCACTTGCAGCTTTTCCTGTGATTACTTGGAGATTAGAGTTTCATGCACCTTCCTGCCCAGGCTGGTTTAGTCTTCTGACTAGCTAGGATTCCAGGTCTGAGTCGCCAGCACCTGGCAACTGAGCCTCCTTTTATGTCTTATTTTTATAATGAACTCAAAGAGAAAAGAAAAAGTATTGGCAATTAACTTTTCCTGAATTTCACCAGAATCCAAATAGGGCATGGGTTTTAGAAACCTGTGAGTGAGAACAGGGCTCATTGAGCCAGAAGCCGGTACCACCTCTGTCAGAGCTGGAAGAGGCTCCATCAGCGATTCACTGACCAGAGGCTGAGGGCCGAGGTTGACGACGGCGCAGCCTCCCGGGGCCAGCAGACACGCACACAGCCTCATCCCACCCGGAGACCATTCCACATCCCAAGCAGCCTCCCGCTTTGCATCGTAATTTGTTGTTAATCGGCTGTCTCGCCCGTCTCTTGCTGACATTGTTCCCAATTACTCCTTCCCTCACCCGCGTCACTGCACCCTCCTTGCAGGTGCTTCCCAGGGGGATTCTAAGACCTGCGGCCTCAGCCCGAGGCCCGGGCAGTAAGAGGTTGCTCCCACGAAGCAGCCCTGTTTTTCAGAAATAGAAATAGAAACAAGCAGATAAAATATCAATGAGCAACTGCCCGGGGCTGCCGGCAGGACCACCCTGTGCTCCTCTCTGGAGCTGGAAGGCTGTGTGCTGAAGTGGCAGGTGGCAGTCCCCTGCTCCCCTCACTAAGGACAGGGCCAGCCTGGACATCGCAGACGCCCAGACCTGCAAGTAGCCTCCCAGGATGCCACTGGCCGAGTCACAGCTCAAGGCATCGTGCCAGCTCTGCCTGGAACAGACGTGGTGCTCTCTCTCCTCAACGTCATCCAGTTGAACACTTGCAGGGAGACCAGGCCGAGTTAGGGTCCAGAGAGATGGAAACCATGCGTGGCATGCAAACATCCCACTTCCCACCTTCCCGCTTCATGTGGAAAATGTCCCGCCATGCACCACAGCTGTTGCACACAGACTGCTGTTCAGTTCGTCCCTGGGCCCCTGGTGTGCTCTGCCCTCCTCGGGGTCTGGGTTTGTACCTTCCTCGGAGAGTGGCCTCTCGCGATACTTGCCCGCCCCTGGGGAGGGGAGTCCTTTCTCTCTAGCTCACAGCTCCCTCCCTGCTGCTCCTGCTGAATGGCTCCCTCCTCTGCAGCCAGAGAAGCTCAGGACTGAAAGGGACAGCGTCTGTGTGCTTGCCAGCAAGACCTCAACTGGAGCTGGGGCTGGAGCGGCCCTGGAGTATAGTGATGAGGACTGTGGGTTCCATCCCCACGCCAAGAGGCTGAGAGTCTGCCCCACCAGCATTGTGTTTGGAAGTCCCATTGTCCCCATTATGCATATGGCCAGAAGCACCTGCACTGGGCTGCAGAAAACCAGAGACGGTTGCAGAGCACAGAGAGGGTGGGTGCAACAGAGTCTGGTTAGAGGTAGACCAGGCCCCGCCACTCCATGGCCCCCTCCCTTCCTGCTGGGCTTCAGCCAGGAGTGCCCGTCGGGGAGGAGCAGAGTCTTCTGGGTCCTTCCAGGAGCTGAGTCAGGGCTGCAGCAGTGAATTCACTGAAGTATTCCATCGGTGTGAGTTCAGGACACCTGCACCAGCTTCCCTGGCCCCTTGGCTGGTGAACACGTGTCCCCAGCATCCCGGCTCTGTGCCCCAGCCCGCCTGCCCCTTCCCCGGGAAGCAGCCAGCTGTGCATTTAGAAGCCTGTGTCATGGCAGGGCGCTACTTTTCCTTCTGGGCACATGGCTTCTGAGCTGGTTCTTAGGGCCCAAACAAATCCAGCTGGAACTTGAGCCGGTCTCAGCTGTGCAAGGTCCCGGGTGAGGGCCGACTCAGTGGTCAGCCTGGTCAAGGTCTGCAGGGCCAGATGAGTGGCTCATCGTCTTTGTGGCAGCACAGACCTGGGATTCAGCCAGCCAGCACAGGACGGGCTGCGGGGAGTTCCCGCGGGGAGTCTCCCAGCGGCCACTGAGCCGTTCCCTCCTTGCTAGAAAGAGCTCAGAGCAGATTTGCAGGCAAAGCCTGCTCTGAGCTTGCAGGCTCTTTTCCTGGACATTGGATCTTTCCAGAAGGAAACTATTTCAGGAGTCTGTGCCAATGAACAAAATAAGCATTGGTCAAAGTCAAAACATCTCCCAGTAGGGGATATCTAATTTAGTTATGACAAACATATCTAATGATATTAGTTCTTAGTAATATAAGCTAGTGCTCCTGTAATAAATGAAGGAAGAGCAAGATACAAATGGTCTGTGTGCTGTGACAGAGCCAGGAAGGCCTGGGAAGGAAAAACAAGAAAACACTCACATTAGTTATAAGGGAACGGAAGGCAGGTGATTTCTTTTTTGTTTCTCCCTTATTTTCTGCGGTGAACAGGTATTCACTTTTATAATCAGGAAAGGCTTCTTAAAATTTGTCTTACTTCAAGAAAAACACAGCCTGGAAAGTGGACGGGGAACTCTCTAGACTGGTGTGGGTGACAGTGAGCCCCAGGAAGCGCGGCTGCCTTCCTCTAAGCAGCCTGGCTGTCCTTACCCGCTGTGCCCGTCCTGGCTTTCCGTTCCTGAGCAGCCAGGGTGGGTGGCAGTGCGGAGAGGGGCACGGGGTGGGGATCTGGGCCCCCCTCGCCCTGTCTCTGCACAGAGTGGAGCCGCAGTGCCCACCGAGCTGTGATGAGTATTTGTGGCTTGTTTTGTTCCACATTGAGGAAAACTCCAAGTCCTGCTGGGACCCAGTCCAGCCCGTGTCTCCCTGGTTGGCTTTGTCGGGTGTGCTCATTAGTGAGGAGCTGCTCTTCCACGAAGGGGGGCTCCTGCCCGCTCCTGTCACCTCATGGTGACAGCAGGGCCCCGGGGTGGCGATGGCTGCGGGCTGAGCGGAGGAAGGCGCCTCCCCCCCTCGCTAGAAAAACACAGGAAAACGAGGGAAGACAGCCGCATGTGCCGCCCTTGCCCAGGTTCAGTCCGTTTGGGGATCTGTGGTGGGATTGCTGTTGATTTTCAAGTGGGAAAATAATGTAGAACGTTAACTGGTGGTCATGTGGCAGTTCAGGCCCGCGCTCACCTGTGGGGGCCACGGAGGAAGCCAGACCCTTGTGTCTTTGGTTATAACCATTCTGTGTCTTCATTTTGGAGCTGCTTCTTCCTGACCCCCTAAAACTCCCCAGTTCTCAGCAGACTCCTTGTAGACTGAGTGTGGGGTGCCTCCTGCGGCCTGGTGAGCCCCTCCTTTATGAAACCTCCCTTGTCATTTCAGTGGACACACACACACTTCCACCAGCACTGACTCCTGAGGAAGAGTCTTGTCTCCCCACGTCCCACAGCCCCTCCATAGGGGCTTGGGGACCAGCCACCCTGCTCAGGGTAGGCATGTGCCCGGCTGACCCTTGGCCTGTCATCCTCCGCGCCCGGAGAGCCAGCCCTTCATCCCAGGGCGAGGTGGCATCGCCTCGTTCCACACAGAGAGAGGCTCAGCGGGCAGCCAGGGGCCGCTTCCCGCAGGCAGGCCCACGTAGCCGGGCAGAAGTGAATCCGCTCCTTCCCGAGCTGCTTACCTGGAGTGGAGGCCTCACTGTCCCTTCTCTCCCGTCCCGCAGGTGTTTGAGGAGCTGTGGAAGGGCGAGGGGAAGGGCGCAGCGCAGATTGTGGCCGAACAGCAGCTGGAACTGATGCAGGATCAAGAGGCCCTGGAGCAACTGTGCCACGCCACCATGGAGGGACATCCGCAAGTGGTGACTGTCAGCAGGGGCGGGGTGGGGGGAGGAGGAGGCCCCCCCCCAGCACCAGGGCGGACGCCCCGCCCCGGGACCTGCTGCAGCCCAGGGCTCTACACGGAAGGGCTGGCGCAGCCTCTTCAATCTCTCCCTGACCATTGGTGCCCGCTCTTTAGTTCAGGCCAAAGAGAGGAACCGGCATAGCTGGCATAGCTCTTCATGGAGTTGTTTGAAAGGGTTTTAGTGAGTTTACCAAGCCCGGGTTCTGCCCACGGGGGGGAGGGGGGGGGTTGTGGCCCACTTCCGGGCTGGCATTCCAGAAGGGCCTGCTGCATGGGGGAGGGGCCGGGGCTTCGGCTCGTGCCTCTGAGAGGTGGGAAGAAAGGCAGAAATGAAAATTAGTTGTGAATTATAGGGAAAAAAATCCTTTGACAGGAACAAGGCTGAAAACCAAGTCATTTTGTGTTGTTAGCATGGTGAAAGGTGGGGTGAGAAGCCCTCCCTCCCGAGTCTAATCACGCTGTCTAGATACTTGTCAGTGGGGAAGACATTGCTAGCATCTCTTTCAGAAGAACGCCCGTCCCCACCTCCACCCCTCAGTGCCAGGACACTGAGCTCTGTAAAGAGCTCTTGATAAGGAACGGGAGCCTGCATGAGGCCGCAACCTCTATCTTCCTGCCTCCTCTGCAGTGACTGATAAAGACGTGGTTTCACACTGGCCCTGTAGCCCCAAGCGCAGATAGCAAACACTGTTACCAGTGAGGTGCTGGGACTGGGCTGGAGCTTGCAGGCCTGGTGATAGGCCTCCTCCATGGCCACCACCCTGCCTGCCATAGCACCTGCCCGCCCTCATGCTCAGTACCCTGGAGGCCGGGCTCTACTAAGTGGCTCTTTGGGACAGAAGCAGAGGAAGGAAGCCCGGCTTCTCTGGTGTCAGGGGCACAAGGAATCAGGGGTCCTCTCTGCTTGGAAGGACTGTGCTTCATCAGACCTTGTGGCACAGGGACACCCAGAGGCAACATCCTGGTCCCGAGGGCAGCTCCGCCGTGGGCGCTCAGCCTGGACGCTCTTTACAAGTGACCGCCCTCGCCCGTGTTCGTATCTTGTGTTAAGGGGGAAAGAAGCTGAATTGAGTTTGCAGTAAATTCATTTGCACTGAGGGTTTTGAAGTATAAGGCTCTTTATTTTCTCCTCTTAATTTCTCTTTAAAGGTAATGGACATGAAGAAGGGAAACCCCAGAGCTATAAACAAGCTGATTGGCTTGGTCCGGAAAGCAACCTTAAATCGGGCTGATCCAACTGTGATAAAGAAAATAGTGGAGAAGCTGTCACCGTGAGCTGTGGCGACTCATCGGAGACCTGCGACAGACGGCCATGTGCTGCTACGGCAGAGTCACCGCCTCTGGCCAAGCCACCCTTCTGTGGGTAACAGCCCAGGAGTCTCCATCCTCACAGACCCCGTCTGTGCCTTGGGAGAAGTCTGCACAGGAGACCCGCAGCCGCACCGCCTGCGGCTTGGACAGTAAAATGCTTCTATGATGCTTGTCATTGTTTTGGGAAACATTGTGCTCCGCTGTGGAGTAACTTGAAATGTGTAATGAGCGGTCCGAGAAAAATTATCATGCAATTCCTTCTAAAAATACTTGTGAGTTTCCTAAAGGCCAGGCATGGTTCCATAGCTGGGCATGAACGGTGATCGGGAGGCAGTAATTTAGATGTAGCATATTTAGATGTAAAATAGGTTAATGAAGATGAAAACACAGCAGCTAAATTGGTGCAGTACAAACACATTGTTCTGGGCGGTCTGGAGAGGAGGGGGAGGGAGGGGGGAGGTATTACTGTTCGAAGGAGTCACCCATGACAAGAGTATCAGTGATACTATCCAACCAACTCCCTAAGGCTCCTGAGAAATGAATTCAAAAGGCATTTCACATTTTCAGATAAATTTAATGAATAAAATATATACTATAAAGAAATGGATTCAAAAGACAATACAAGTTTTCAGGTAAATTTAATGAATAAAATATATATTGAAATATCAGATAAAAATGCACTTAGACTTCAAAGATTGTATAGTTAACAATCCCCTCCCCAACCCTTAGGCCAAAAAAAAAGATAAAATAAATGTAACTTGAAAATGATCTGTTTTGCCTGCAAAGAATAAGATTATAACCTAGTAAGTCCAAATCTTCACCTCAGAAATCGAGGTGCAGCCCACAGTGTTGTGAGGAAGGCTAGATTCCCAAGACGCACTTCCCTGCCGACTTGCGTGGTGCGTGGACACTGTTCCGAGGACCAGCTTTACGGAAGCTGGGTTGGTTTTTGTTTCGTTAAGTATTTGTCAAACTGTGACATGAACAAAGGAACAGCATCCTTGGAAGGCTCAGATTTTATACCAAGCTCTTTGGCTGCTAACAGCAGAGAACGTTTGTTGGGATCCTTGTGCCACTGAGGGGAGGCACGTGGGCGCACACTTCCACAAGTTGGCAGGACTGCCCTCAGGCGGAGACGAGGAGGCAAGTGCCCGTCCTGTCCGCCCCACGAAGGGGATAGAGAGAGAGGAAGCCACTGCGTGGCTTATTCCAGCAGGAGATGATGATACTTGAGTAATTTTTAAAAAAGAGTTTAGAACTGAGAGACTGTCACCTCACCCGGGAGCCCCATGTGTCCCACATTTTGTTCAGTACTGAAAATTACCACCCAGACAAGTGGAAAAAGGCGAGTCCCTCTCACTCCGAGAGTCTCTGGTTAACAAGCGCACAAAGCTGCTTTGACATTCCAATCTGGCAGGACCTTTCCTTTGTAAGAAATCTTACTGTTCAGTTTTATAAACTCCCTTTTCACCCAAAGTTCTAGCTTCTTGGTCATCAGGCCTTCCAGAAAACACTGAAGGATCTACCCAAATGGTTTCAAATCAAGGGCCTAGCTAAATTGGATGCAGCCAGAGATAGGCAACTAAAACTATTTTGTCAACAATGTATGGACTGAGGATTCTGAGGAAAATGCCACCATTAAAACCCTGGATCTTGGCAAGGCTCATTCTAGTCTAATTTTGGCAAGTCTCTTCGATGTCAACTTTTGAAATCCTGAAAACCGGGGTGGGTGGGAGGATTTAAAGATCAGCTCTCAAAAGGGAAGTTTATGTGACACCTTGAGACATTCACTCAGTATGGTTCTGCAGGTACAGGCGGCCGTGAAATGCAGTGTCGCATTCTCGCATGAGTATGAATTGAGTCTCATCATTTAGGGGAAATCTCATTAAGATGTATGAGTTGGTGCCACCGCCAAGGCCACTGCCATCTGTCACTGGATTCCACACACCTGTAGGCCGGGTGTACCATGCCCAGGAACTCACTGGGAAGAGAATGGCCTGGAGAACTGACTTTCACCCAGGCCAGCTGGAACCAGCTCTACCTGGTCAGGCCCTGTCATTTATGGGTCTGGTGGGGAGGTAGATGCACGGGCCCTAGGACTCAGCAGCTACTGGCAAGTGTATTTAGCAGAAATAGTATTCTAAAGGACATGAATTCATATGCAGCCTGTTGTAGGAGTTTTTTGTAACATGTTGGCATCTACTAGGACTTAAAATTCGAGGTCATTTGGGCCTAGGAAGCAGTGTTTGCCTTTGCCTCTGTCCCAGCTCATCTCTGAAAGCGAACTTCTGTCCCTCTCTCAAGATCTATAGGTAGAAAAAAAACACCAGTACTACACCAGGGTATTGAGCTTTTAGATGAGTTCCTGCTACATCCGGCCTCCTTTTTTAAAAAGGAACAAGGCCTCCAAGTTTTCAAAGGTTTCAGCTTTGATCTGTGTGTTTTCAATTGACTTAGCTGCCTCACTTCCAGAACTCTAGAGAGTCAGTACCGAGGGAAGAACCACCAACTCTTTTCTGAAAGCTACGTCATTTACCCATCGCCAGGTGTGGACACAGCTGCCAGGTTCCCTCACAGCTGTAGACCCATACCTCTGCAGACCGCTGTTACCACAGCTGCCCTGGGTGGGCGTGGGAAGCATGGAGTGCAGCTATGTTCATTGCCTCCTTAGAAGGCTGGGGGAAATCATCCAGGAGAGATCGGCACCAGATTCCCTCCTTGAAAATAGTACAGGCAATTAGGGCCTAGTTATTATAGACTTGCCCCAGAAAAAAAAAGTTACTTGACATAGCAAGCAACAGAGTGCTGCAGCCTCCTCTCCATGGAATTGATCATCTGGCCTTAGAGCCTCTACCACCCTGGTCTGCTTCCGAAGCAATGCAGCAAATCAGAGCACCCACCAGGAAACGCCTGAGATGCGTACCAAACGTAGTTCTAGGCCTGTCGCCCGAGTGGGCAACAGTGAATGAGGCTGACCCACATCTCAAGACAGGAGCAAAAACATCACTGTGACCTGACCAGCAAACACACCAACTCGAGGGCACTCAGGGCAGATCTTACAGGGCTCCCCCACGCACCCTGAGCCATCTTTCCCTCAAGTGCCGCATGGAAATCTTTTGCTAAAGCCCTGTTTATCCAGTTAATGAGCTGCCTGGATAATCTGTCCTCCAAAACAAGTAATGGCCTACTAAATGCCTGAATGTGGAGAGGATTTACAGAGGCAAAAAATTATCCGAAAAGCCATTCTAAGAGCTTTTTCTATGATGGTTCAAAACAAAAAGTCAAACTCCACTCTCTTTCAAGTAGTTTCTCACTGACGAGACACGGATGGAGAATGAACTGGTTTGACGTGTTGTTTTAAGCTGCTGTTCGATTCAGAGACTGACGGCTGAAGCCAGAGGGGCTACGTTATCTTCCCGAGGACTTGAAGCCGATGTGGCTCAGCTGCCAGAAGGCTGCCGCCTCTCCAGAGCTGCCTGAGGTTTGCAGCAAACACTCCTTTGCACTGGCCGGGCCGGCGGCTTGAAGTAGTGCCTCCAATCATAGCCATGCTGAAGGAAAGTGTTTCATAAAAATAGCAAGCAGGACCCACCATTTCGGTAAACACAGCTTGCAATTAGCAATTAAACTGAACTCCCCATAGCTGAGAACTGGAGCATAGAAAGATACTTCACATCACACCCAAGCCAGGCTGGCCGAAAGCCACCTGGACACACAAATCCAGAGTATACCGCTCAGCCACAGCCTTAGAGGAGCTGGAAATCAACCCACATGACCACTCAGCCAAAGCGATTCAGACATCGAAAACAACTTCCAAGCATGAGGATGGCTGGCTGCCCCAATTAGATGGCACCCCAGCTGTTTACATGCCCTGTCTAGAGTCCATTCCTAAGAGGACACTGTCCTGAACACACCCTGGCGCCATGACGTCTTAATGGACTGGAAATTAGCTATTAGATCTGACGTAAATGAAAGTCACCTGCTAAGTGCAGGCCACTGCAGAGGGATGGGAAGTACCGCATGAACCTCCTGACAGGACAGGGAAAACAACTCCAACCCAAGCATGTCAAAGTATTTTCTCCTGTGATGCTAAACCAAAGGAGGCAAAGCATACAATGGCTCTGTACATGCCAGGGATGGGATGTAGCTAATGAGAAAGAAAATCGCATCTCTTAGCAGCCATCCCAACATCTCCAACTCATGGCTTTGAGATTGTTAAGACTGAACCACAGCTGTTTAAAAAATGTTGCAGACATTTCCAGAACTCAGGGTTCGATGTTCCAGTGCTCTCATACTTCGAACCATAAAATTCACTCACCCGGGACCTTTCGCTCAGACCCTGCGTTATGCGCTGGCATTGATGTGGCAGTGTTCAGGAGCCCTCGGGGACGTCGTGACACCAGCCTGGGGGCTGCACCATGGACTCGGCCCACTTTGGCTCTGGTAGTAGGCTTGGCAGCTGCTGGGGCCCAGCTCAGTGCAGAGGACCAGCCGTGCCCTTGGGCCACGTTTTAAGCATGTCAAATCTTTTTAAAAACATATTTTTCCCCAAAACCTCATTACAAAGAAGACACCTTGCCGGGCTTTGCCTATTTACTTTGGGTCTGGAGTTTTCTATTCATCACCATGATGTTCTCTTGCTAAGGAACCCTGCCATCTGGCATCTTTCTAGCTGCCTAAAACAACATCCACGCCTCCAAATCCTTCAGGTTTCCTTTCCTCTCCTATTTACAACTAGGTCTTTGTCATTTTCTTTTGGCATGCCCATAGCATTCCCTAGATCACCTTTTCTTGGTTATTTAAGCCAACCCCATGGGTTTTACAGGGAAATACAATGTTCTTTTATTGCCAGGTCAGTCTTCTGGCTTCCTTTTGCAAAACCCTGGACAAAGCCCTCTGGAGAGGACCGCAAAGACTCAGAGACACAAATGGGTTTCTAGTTCTAAACAGGGATTTAGAGAAAAGCCATCGTGTTTGTTACCCACACTCACCCGAAGAAAATGGGATTTTTCTGCCTCTTACCCTAGCCTCCAGTCATCTCTGTCCCCCTTTAAATTAAGTCTACTTCAGTCCTATTGGAAAAATGAGAGGCACAAAGTCCATCTTCTCCCTAACAAGCACGTTGCCCAGAGGGACCAGCCCGGTGCACCACAATACAGAAATTAGGTGAGCTGGAAGTTGAGTTTGGCAGTAGAGCACTTGCCTAGCATGCAAAAGGCCTTGGGTTTGATACCTAGAACCACAGAAGAAGAAAATAAGACTAGAAGAATCAACACCATCGCCAAATAATAGAGATGGCTGAAAATCAAAGCAGAAAAGTAAGAAATACCATTTACAGATAGGGTTTCGCCATTTTGTAACTAGTTAACAAGACAATCCAAAAATCAGAAGAATACTCATGGAGAGCGGAGTTTGAGGGTAATAACAACAGCTTAATTTGCATCTTCACCTGTTCCTCCTTCACTGCCTGAAGCTGCCTTCTTTCTTAAGATGTGTGGGATGTGCAGATGCAATGAGCTACCAGGAAGCCAAGTGTGGGCCAGGGCATTGGCTGCACACGTTCTGGCTGCTGCACCAAACCGATTTTCAAGATCAATAATGTGTCGTGAACAGGTGTCTGTGTTTCTTGCCTAGGCCATGAAGTCCTGCTAACAGCTTGAAGTCCTCCAAACAGCTTGCCCTGCCCAGCCCAGATCCCCCGTGTCTTTGCCCGTGGACTGGCTTTCCAGCTGTCCAGGCGCGCTGCTTCAAGATCCAGGAAACACCAAGGGGTGCTTGCACTTCACAGAACCTCAGATAGTATTTCCTCCACTGTCCTTGTGCACCAGGGACCTGACTCCAACAAACCCAGTGCTTCTTAGGCACAACCAGAAGACCCAGCGTTCTTCTTGAGATTGAGTAGAAAGGCCTACAAAGGACAGAGGGAGCCAGGCTTTGAATTCCCACCCAAACAGGGGACTCGCCACCTGCTACTTGCTACTCACCACAGAAATGGGCCCAAAATGGAGGAAGGTGGGATTCAGAATATGGTGGTGGTTTTGCGTGGTGGTGGCTCCAAGAGTAATCCGGCCCTTGCAGCAGGCTGCAAAGCAGCCAGAGGCACTCATCCATCACAGCAGGGCCTCCGATGACGCTCGCTTCTCCAGAGTGACATGTCCAGATGGAATGAGTCGCCAACAGCCCTTTGCCCCCGGCTTTGCGTTTACAACCCAGCTCCCAAAGTGGACTGCACAGTTCCATTTCCCCATAAAGTGCAACGTATTAGTCAAAGCAAACACTTTAAAATAATGACCAGTGTTTTGGGCTTACCTTTATCCACTCCAAATCTCCCCCACAGAACCCCACAATGAAATAGCTTCACAAGTTGGTTTTCATAAACACTTAAAAAAATAACCATGGCTGTCTTTTTGCATAAGCATATGAACCCATATGCTTATGGGTGTGTCTGATTTTGCATAAGCTTTGTTCATCTGATCAAACTCCTAGGAACCATAGTAACAGTTTGCATAGGTACACTTCATTTTTTGTGCAAATCTTACTAAAATAAGGCTATCTTCAATGTTTAGGTAGTCAGTCTTACAGTGATTAAAGAAAGCTCTCACGGAACAAGAAATAATTCCCTGAATTCCACATTCTCTCCAAATGCACATAACTTC